TAAAAAAACATTCTCTGCCAAACTGGATTTTTTTCTAGTGTCACACATCTGAAGAAGGACCTTTTCTTCCTTTCTCTTGTGAGGTGGCAGTGAATAGCAGAAAGAAGAGAGAATGCTTCTGTCTGAAAATTCACCAAAGCTTTCATTCTCCAGCTCTATTACTATATTACTACAGGACTGGGAATGGATGACTACTGCCAAATGTGGAGGCTAGAATCTGTATGTCTGCCAGCATGGTGACTCCTATGTGCTTTCTAGGACAGTGAGGGTATATGGGAGCTTTATAAGTAAGAGCAGTGTGATACATGTCTCAGCGAGGGCTTGTTGTTCTGCTAGCTGTTGGACTCGCTCACACACAGGCTGGTGCGTAGGATAAGGACAACCATGATGGCCATGTCAGGCTGTTGTCCTTTTCTTCTGCAATCTGACGTGTAGGAGGAAGTCAAACACACACACACACACCACACACACACACACACACACACACACACACACACACACGAGCAAAGATGCACACAGAAACACACACTCAGATGGAACACAAGGAGTCAATCTCTAAGATCAGAGTCTGGAGGAGTGCACAGAGAAACCACATGTGACCTTTGACATCAGAGTGCTTCACAACACCCAGGTTAAACACATGCCTTGAAACATTTAACCACCAACAGTAGAGCACAAACAACACCTACTCCTGTAAAGCTGTTTAACCATTCAGTGTTCATTACAGAGAAGGACATGTTTGTCTCTACAAGGGTCACTCAGTCAGCCAGACTGTGGTGCCATTGCAGCAGGTACAAATTAATGAGTAATGTTGATACTTTAGAACTCTGCTGTCATTCAAAAACACAAAAAATACAGAAATAAGTGCCTCACTGGTGCATTTATATGGAAACTGGAAGACATATACATTCATTATGATGAACACGTCAAGTTTGGTTTGCTCCTCTCTGCTTGTCAATTCATTAAAGAAGTGCAAGTGACTACACAGTAATTACTTGTTAATAGTATGCATTTACTGCTAAAAGTAAAAAATGGAAGTTATTTTTTCTTAAAACTATGTTTATTGTTTTTTTGGCCTCTTGGGGGCAACAGAAACAAGCTATAAACACATTGCCATATTATCGCCTTATAAAGTCAATATGGTGAACATTTCAGCAGATATGGACCAACCACCAACTCCTTAGCTAAATGCTATATTCACCATAGCCACTAAATGTCTCTCTGCTGTTTTGGTGCTGAGCAGGTGGCATACAATGCAAGAGAGTTTTTAAACTGCCTGCAGCTGCAGGAAACAAGGTTGATGAAACCTGTGAGACTGAACCTGAAACCTCTGTGGGTTTTGTCACTAGGACATTTTTTACATTAATTCGCTATTATAAAAAGTATTAGTTAGATGATTTAAGTACATAAGCCAATATTTCATTTACAGGTTTGGCCACAGTAGAGATCTAACTGTAACAACCTTCCTAGTAAGCTACTCTTCCTTCCCATTCAAAATCTTGGAGGAAAAATAACAGTGAAAATGTCAAATGTAATCTTTCTCTGAATTAAAAAAAAAGAATGATTTTTCCTGCATCTCTGTGTTACTCCATGATTTAGAGAACACAATCCAGATTTTTTGCCATGAAGGCCAATTATGCACTATGAGGAAGAAAATTCACATTTTACAGACTTGCTTACCAAAGGACATGTGGCAGCCGACTCCCATGAATAAAAGTATTTCATTTGCTCTGGGTCCGCTTACTGACTCAGACCTGCTCTGTGTATGTATGTAAGTTCACTAGTATGCCGGCATGCTTTATTAAACTCACACCACCACAGCAAACCTGAACTGGACTTGAATGATTTTTCTTCAACAACTATATTACTGCACAGCCTATGGCAGTATTGGCACTTAGGAGCAGAGTTACATTTTGATTCATCTAAGTTTAGTATCACAGAGGGTAAAAAAAGACACAAACACACTTTCTGTCTGCCCATTCACTTAAAAAAAAGCATGTTGGACATACAAACAGAAGCAAGGATCATCTTTCTAGGCAATTAACCACACGCACGGCCAAGGTGTCTGATTCTTGACAGACAATACAACAAATGAAAACACAGCGTCACAGTATCAGTGAGAGCGGTGTCCAGGTACTCTGCAGAAACTGTTTTCCTCCTCAGGTAGGAGGTATTAAGTTCCATGTTAAAAACCCCCTGCTCTTTGTACAGAAACACGACAGCGGATGAAGCACATCCCTGTGAGTAAGCCTTAATGCAGCACTCAAGGCACAGATTACTACGTGGCCTTCTACCAATTAACCCAAACATCCCACCATCTGACCAGACACACACTCATAGACACATACCTCCTGTCTGCCCTTCTATCTCATATCCTTCCTCCCCAGATTTCCTCCATAAACATTCCCCTGGTTGTAGTTGTCCTTTGACATTACCCTTGAAACATATATTCTCAAAGGCAGCATTAGCAATGGGTTTTTTTTGTTTTTTTTACAGCAGGGCAAGAGCAAATTAGAGAAAGGGCTGATGAATGGAGACAGACAGATGACAGAATGGAAGACAGGAGACTGACGAAGAGATGAGGGAAAGAGGGGGGAGGGGAGGAAAGACATGGTATTGTTTGTCCGCAACAGTCCAAGGAGGCGTGCAGCTGCTGTGGGCTCACAGAGGGACTCAAGAGCAGAGCAGAGAATAGATGGGAGGGACCCTGCTGCGTACCCCTGACCTCCGAAAGTGGGTTAAGAGGTTAAAGACACAGAAAGGCTCAGATAACAAAGTCCCTCAACACCTCGGCTCACACACTTGGTCTAGCTCTCTCACACGCATTTCTATAAATACTGTGTGCTATCAGCAGTGCTGTTTTAAAGTGCCCTGCGCCTGAGCCCTGACCCACATTCTGATCATACTGCTCATACTAGAAAATACATCCACTGAGGTCCTGATACCACTTATTCAATGAAATCCAGGGCCTATTGATGGGTTAAGCGCACAATGACTTTTGTTTCTGCAGTCTGAGTTCTCAGTTCACCGTGAAACTCTGAGACAAATAAAGTGCAACTCGAATTTTCTGCCAATAAGCTTTCAGTTTGCACTTTTGACCCTGAGAGGAAGGTCAGCCACCACAGGGATAAAGGCACGAAGTTATGAAGGGAATGGAATCTCCCAACTATGACAGCTGTGTCCTCAGTACTGCGGGCTTGTTGGGTCAATGTATATGTATATGTCTCTGAGAGAGAGCGAGATGAGGAAGTAGAACAGGGAAACTAGTGCTACAGTTATCACTGCAACACACTGGGTATGTTATTGAAACAGCTTAAGTCAAGGAAACAATACTACTGTATTGTATTGTGGGAAGGAGGTAAAATAGTGTGTGTGTGTGTGTGTGTGTGTGTGTGTGTGTGTGTGTGTGTGTGTGTGTGTGTGTGTGTGTTAGTGAGATTGAGTGACAAAGGGGAGTGATTGGTTTTGCCCAGTCAGAAGAGATGGGATTTGTGTGACACCCCTTCCATAGGGTGCACAGATATCAGCTAGTTTTTGGACAGGCTCTGGTTATTTGTTCTTTGTGATTAGTCTGGCTGTCACTGATCTTATTGTGATACATGTCTTTGTTTTACTTAAAATCTCTGATAAGAAGACATCACATTGAAGTTCACAGCACATATAGGCAGAGCAGCTGCCCAAGGCCACAGAGCCCCCCTCATGGGCCCCAGGTTGAAAACGTTAATCTAAATTTGTTTGGAATAAGCAACACTAAGGCACATTATGTACTGAAATGACTCAAGGCAGGTCCTGCATTTTTACTTAATCGCCCTGTTTTGCGTAGAGCAAAATCTAGTTTTGATACCTTTCGAATTTTATTGATATTGTGGTGCATGTACCTAAATAAATTGACTAACTAGGCTCATGGCAAACCTGGGGTAGAATGGTATTCAAGAATAGGATTTCTGGAGGTATTTTGGGGCTCTTGGAAAAAATATAATGAAGCTGCCATGTGCACTGCATCTGATGGGTACTTGGGTCATATTACATTAGCGCTAGCACAGGAGCTACAGCATACAAATAAACTGGCCTTGTTGGATGTCAGTTCAATATCTAACATTCACAATCATGTTTGTGCAAGTGTACTGCATATATGTATCATGCCACCTGAATGCTTGTGTAAGCAGGTATCTTCATTGTTCTACTCAAGCACAAGATACAAACAAGACTGAGACCACCTCATCTAAACTTGCTACATAGCACAACTAGTGGCCAGGAACTGCACAGGGTACCTTTAAAGAATAACTGTATTCAATTATTATCAAATAACAGATAAGGATAAACAACCAATATGATAGGGGTGGGCAATGTGGCCCAAAAATAAAATCGTTTTTCACACCACACCCAGTTTTTTTAATTAATTGTTCCTCTTAAAAAGCAAACTACAAAAGACATCATATCTTTGGAAATGTGAAATGCCACCACAAATGTAGTCTTATTACTAGGGCCCTTTCTGCTCATATGGAATATTATGGTAATATGATGCTACACGTTATGTGTAGATGAGTGACTTGAGTGGACTGGGGATTGTTTTACAGCGTCCTTGGCAGCTGTATATCCCTGCATTATAACATGCTTATTTTAAATCTCAATTTTACAATTCAGCCATTTTTTACTTTGTTTTAAAATGTACATTGCCTTACCATATGATGTGTATTTAGGCAGCTGGAGAGGCAATTAGCTCCTGATGGCCTATTCAGAGGCTGATTTTTGGCTAATTGATAAGTAAACACTCGTTGTTAGTTCATTTGTACAGCAACCTTTGACTAGGGTTGGCTTTGTTTATTAGATATAGCACTGGTACACGTATTGCCTTTTGTGTAACATTAGCATGTGGTTTATCTATACACACAGGTGGTCTATCTATCTATACAATAACTGTGTGCGGTGTGTGTGTGTGTGTGTGTGTGTGTGTGTGTGTGTGTGTGTGTGTGTGTGTGTGTGTGCGCTTAGAGACTTACCAGTGAGGTTAGTGCGTGCGCTGTAGGATCCCAAGTACCGGCCATCTGTATTGGGTGTGTAACACTCAAACAGACCCTGGTCCTTGGCCTGCACTTTGGTGATGTGGAGCACAGCTGAGTCGCGGGACAGTCTCTCCACAAAGATCTCTTTACTATTCACCCTCTGGGCATAAACGGCGTAGGCATAGTTTGGCTGAGCCGTGCTGACGATGCGGATCTCCCTGTCCGGCACTGATGGTAGATACATGGACCACTCAAAGTCCTGCTCCACGCCCTCTTTGTAGCCTGTCACGTTGCACCAGATGGTCACATGAGAGCCCTCAGTCCGTATCAGCGGTCCACTTTGCACCGTTACCACCCTCTGAGCCGCAGCAAAACCGGCTACAAACGAAGGTGGGGTGAGAGAGATGGAGAGGGAAAAGAGAAAGAGGGAGAGTGGATGGGGTGAAGGCGGGCAGAGAGGAAACAGAGAACATGGGTTACAAAACTGTGGTTTAAATATTTAGCATTGGCAGAGTTTATGCACCCCACATCTCCCAGGAAATTCAGAAACAACGTGACATGTGCAGCTAAGCATTCTGGAGCGCGCTTACTTGCGAGGTTAAGGTGTGCACACACACACACACACACACACACACACACACACACACACACACACACACACACACACACACACACACACACACACACACACACAGCTTTTTAACACCACTAAGCACTTAAACATTCACAGCAACTTTTAATAGCCAAGATCTTATTCTCGCTCACTGCTATTACATGCACTCACATGTTAGCCCTTCACCACACAGACAGCACTGCAGCTGCACTACATGGAGGTGAGAGGCAGCCATATGGGAGTTAGGTGAGAGGTCAGTGTGAGCTGGTAAAACACATGTCAACAAGGTGTGTTAAGTGTGTCAGGCTGCACAGGTACAGGTATTTTTGAATAACTACTGTTTTTCCTGACACGTCCATAATCTTTAGTCCTCGTCATTATTCATGAGCAAGAATGTGCACTGATTATGGATTAGAGCTAGACCAATAAATCCACCGGGCTGATGTATCAATTGTCAAATATTAATAGAAAAAACAATTAAATCTTTGGAATTATATGTCTAAATGGATTAATAAATGAATAAAATGCCAGAAAATGCAGTTTAATCATGAACATTACAACACTGCACTATCAGAAGTGAAATACCTCCCTTTCTGGGCCATTTTTCATTCACACAGCATATCATTTGCATTCTGCAAATAAAACCTATGACTGTAGCTTTTTGAGACACATTCCATATGAGCTAATGTATGTTGCTTTGTCTTTGCCTATATTACGGAAGACAGCATATGTGAATCTTGCCTCAACCCCATGCATACACACACACACACACACACACACACGACAAACACAAACATTCGACACACACACACACACACACACACACACACACACACACACACACACACACACACACACACACACACACACACACACACACACACACACACACACACACACACACACACTATTCACCATTCAGGGAACAACTACAAACATCCCTCTCATTGGGGCCGGAGACAACAGAGCACTTACACATACCCCCCCAAATCCAGACAGAGCGACAAGTACGCTGTTTCCTGTCTGCACAAGCAACTGGGGATTGCAGCTGTGTTTGTGTGTGTGCTCGCATATGTGTGTGTGTGAGAGAGAGAAAGAAAGTCTGTACGATGCTGTGTCTGTGGGCACAATGCTTGGCATTAATAATTCACCAGAACAGCTTTTTAACTTCAACATCCTCTCTCTTCTCATAGTAACTTTCGCTTACACTTCCACTACGCCCACACCTTTCATTCACTGTTATTAGTGGATGTGTATGCCTATGCATGACTGTGTGGACCATGTCTTATTTCCTTCTTGCATTGGGTGCTTCAGGTCTTTTGTCTATTGCTTGTTTTTTTAGATATGAGCCAATAAAATCTTTACAAATCTATGTTTTCTTTTGGAATCCCTCACTTGCATAAGAATTCAGTCACAGTGGCATACCAAAGTGAAATTCAATCAATCATTCCTTCAAGCTTGATTTCTCCTAAAAGACCCCCACAGGACTAATCAGGATATACATGATGAACTCTGCTCATGAATGCCACAACTTTAAAATGTATACATGTTATCCTTGTTCTTAAAAAGAAAGGAAAATGCTTTATTTGGCTTGGTGGCACAATCTGCATACCAGGTGTCTCGAAGTTACTGCAGGAAAATGGTAAAATGTTGTAATGACAGCAGAAATAACATAAAGAAATGTCAAATATGTTAAGCTCACTGTAATGTCACTGAACCCTACCACATATGTCTCTATAGAAATATTGAAGGAGGCTTATAATGATAAAATTAAGCAACTAGCACTCTAATTTTTTATAATTCTGTTTTTAATAATTTCCCACATGCACTACTTACATTTTTCATGCAGTTCTGTGGAATAATAACATCTCCTGATGCTTTATTTAAACAATATAAATAACATAATCAATACCAAAACATTGTTTAGGCTAGTGTTTTTATTTTGTTAGCACATGAAAATGGAACTGTATAAATAAGCCGTGTAGGAAACAAGATAATAAGACTGCATAGTCCTCCTCAGATTTCTGTCCATAGCTGTAGATTAATGTGACTCCTTTGTGTCTGTACATTTTCTAGATATCTGATAACATTTTGTTAAACTGTGAGGAGGTTCATGTTATCAGTAGCTAATATGGCTGGCATCTTCGCGGTCTCTCTGCACATACTACCGTACCACACTGCTGTAAAACTTGTAAGACAGGCTTTGACCTGTTAAACATTTGGCCGCTGGCATTTAAAAAGACAAAATCCATCCACAATGAGCAAACACCAAACACCCTTCACCCAACAACTGAGATTGGCAGAAAGTCTATAGTGAAGTGTGCTGACTGAATCTGGCTGAGAACGTTATGCATTAGGTAAGAGGCAGCCATCTATTCTGACTCAGGCCTCGGTTCCCTGCTTTTCTTCTCTGTGATGTCAGTGTGCTAATCTGGCGGCGCCCAGTCTACCCACATCCAGCTTAGATCAGGTCAGAGCTGTACCGCTGCATCACTGCTTCTCATGTTGCAGCTACTCATCCAGAACTGCTGGAAACATATTACTCACACATCCCAAAAAAAGCCATACTACTCATACTGTGTCGGTGCACTAAGAGCTTTCCTCCACTCGCCTGTCTCCTGTCATTCTCCAAACAAGCTGCCTCCTTACTTCTGATTACTTTCACTTCCTTACTCCGTGTTTTACCCATCATCAATCCTTCCCTTCGTCCTGCCCCTCCACTCTCTCTCTCTGTATATTCCTGTCTCTTCACTGTGCCTCGCGGTTCTGTGCATCTTTTCAGGCAGGATTTAAGCAGCTCTGTGGAACTTCAAAGTGCCCATCGCTCTGCAGGCTGTTTAGAAAGGCTGACAATGACATACCAAACCCTGCAGACCTTCAACTGATCGCTCTATTCCACCAACCTTCCACAGTAATCCTGTGCCCGCAACCTCCCCCACTTCTTCACCTCTGGCACCGCTGCCTCGATCGCATAGTGCCCATATTTTCTCAACAAGGTCTCAGATTTTCTATTATTAACGCTCATCTCCATCTCTGCATACCGCGGATGTCTTGCTACCCTACTCTTCCTCCCACCCTCACTCTCTCTGGCTTCCCTCTCCTGTGTCTCATCTCTCATCTTTTCTGCCAGTTGCTTCCCACACAGCTTGTTGACTGAACATGCGTCCCATGTCAGACAATGGTGAATGACCACGGACAAGATCTCTAACTGACCTTGCTGTTCGGGGGCTGGAGTACACAGAGCAATGGGAGCTCCAACACACACACACACACACACACACGCACACACACACGCACACACACGCACACACACACACGCACACACACACGCACACACACACACACACACGCACACACGCACACACGCACACACGGAGAAAGCTGCAAAGAGGATTATGCTAAGTGGAAGGGGGGTTAAACACTAATCCAATCATTTATGGCCAGTGTCTTATTCTCAGCGGAAACAGCGGCGAGGCCACTAGCCTTCATGCCTACTAGTCCCATCATCACTCTTCTATGACACAGGATAATTATACACCTAGAAAGGTGTATAATAAAAACACTGCAGGGTGTAAATAATATGGAGGACATTCACAGCAGCGTGGAGATGTGCTAATGTGGATATTTGAGCTGTCCATCATCTCTTCTCACTTTGCTTTCATTCCTAACAACGCACACACACTCACACGTAAATCCACAACAGAAGAAATATAGATGGTCTGCCAGCAAAGGGTGAGCAGATTGCCTAAATTAGGTATCAGCAACTCAGATATTAAGTGTAGTGTAACAAAAGTACGATTCGTGAAAAAAGTTACCACTAACATCAGCCTATCGGCAAATAAGATGACATTCGCCATTATCCGAGGCTGATGTTTATCTGTTGTGTCACATCAATTGTACACTCGCTAAATACTGTATTGGTTAAATTACAACTCTGATATAGGAAAAATAGGTTTTCCACTACTGACACAAATTGCACACAAATACCGGCGGTGAGCTCCATACACCAGAACGGACTCAGCTCAACTCTGACAACACTCACATCTTGGATTACAAAAGGAATAGACTGAGCTTCAAAAAAAACATTGGTGTTGGCAACTATCGCTATCGACCTAATTGTTATTTTAAACATCAGTATTGGTATCAGCCCAGAATTTCCCCAATCAGTGCATCCCTACTCTCTGCTTTTCCGATGCTATTCTGTGCATGCATGCCTGCAGGGGTCACCTCGTTCAGAGAATACAAACACACACACGCAGTCGCACTGAAGGAAAGAGGAGCATCATCATACATATATATGTGATTAGGTAATTAAAAAGGGAATAGTAAAAAGAAATTCTTTGTTTGGCAAATTCTTTGGTGGGAAAGAATATGTACAGAAGCGGCAAATGAATGACGCATTCACCTCATAAATCATGACATACTGCCCTGCCTTGTGTGATGATAGATAAGTTGCCTTTAAAGCCCCTGAAAACCAATTAGGATGGGATCCTACATAAAACATCTCCTGCTAAAGTTAGAACCATTTTGGTGATTTCACATTAAATATTTTTCTATTTGTTTTATTTCTCACTGGTTTGAAGTGTGTGGTGCTCAGGAAAAAGGTGATGTCAGACATTTCCATTCACCAATCACAGTTTACCAACATTTAACCAAAATCTGATGGCAGTTCTTTGCTAAACCACTGTCAATTACATCTGACTAAACCACAAACACAAACACACAAACACACACACACACACACACACACACACACACACACACA